TGGTTTAGTCCTGGTTTAGTCCTGGTTTAGTCCTGGTTTAGTCCTGGTTTAGTTGTTTTCGAGCGTGAGTCCCCGCGATCACTTTGCTGCTCTCTGATGTGGAGGATGTTTGCTGCTGCAAGCATCTCACAGCGAACAGTTTTTAAGGTAGTATGATCCATGCTTCAGTGATCAGAGGAATTTAGGGGGGTACTGTGGCGTGCGAGAACGCAAAACTCCGGTTATCTCTGTCTACACACAAATGCATTAACGGAGTTTTCAAAAATCTCCACTTTGCCCGGAGTTTTTTGTATATATTCGTTTAGAATGTGTAATTTTTTATTTATTTAATGCGATCTACCAATACTACCTTTGCGATCGACTGGTAGATTGCGATCGACTGGTAGATTGCGATCGACGTAATGAGCACCCCTGTATTAAGGTATGGTTAAGATATCTTTGATGTCCCTGTAAGGAAGTTTGTTTATATTTGATCCACGCTTCCATTGCCAATATAGGTCAAGCTGTAAAAGCAGCTTCAGAGGAAGTTTAAAAGTTAATGATGATAATTATTTTTATTATTATTCATTCAAATTTGGCCAGAAAATGTCAAATGTTGTTGTTGTTTTCTTTTAGAGGGCATTAGCCTCATTATTTCTTTATCACAATTAGTTTTACTGTTGTCGTTCTTTTCTGTTTTTATCTATCCATTGTAATTCATTATTACAGAACTAAACCATTGACTTATTTTAATGTAATTATGGTAATTGTGCACCATATGAAATTTTGATTGACATGATATTTCTTATGCCATGACACGATATTTATGGCATATGTTAAATCTGCATGCGCTTTTTGAATTTAATTAAACAAGTGAATTGTGAGTAGTGCAGGTGTCACTGTATATAGACCATTAAAATGTCTAGTTTGACACTGCCTGGCTTATCTTGAAATGTCTATAGAGCAGACCCTCTCCCAAATTTGCATAGATCAGGTGTATGCAAATGTCGAGTGTCTCTGCTTTCCATCAGCGCTGCTCTGTGCCCTGTCTGAGTCGTGTCTTTCCTTCAAGCAAACATCAGGCATCAGGATAATTTCTCCGGTTTTCTTTGACTGATATGAATAACACAATGTCCACCCATATCTGCATTTATATAAAAAGGAGCGAAAAATTTAAAAATGCCACAGTCTAATTTTTAATCAATTTCTGAAATAATAACAACTAGAAACCGTTGCAATGGCTGAAGCCATTGCGATTGACTGCGGAACAGATCTAATGTGGAATTTAGCTGAAAAATCCTTGAAATCCTTGAAACTGTTAAAATACTTTAAACATCTTTGAAACTCCTGAAGTATTTGAAGCTCCTGATATCCTTTAAACTGTTATCCTTTATACTGGTTTTCATGTAAAAACCCCTATTAAGTTCCATTATACTGGTTTACATGTAAAAACCCCTATTAAGTTGCATTATACTGGTTTACATGTAAAAAACCCTATTAAGTTGCATTATACTGGTTTACATGGAAAAATCCCTATTAAGTTGCATTATACTGGTTTACATGTAAAAAACCCTATTAAGTTGCATTATACTGGTTTACATGGAAAAATCCCTATTAAGTTGCATTATACTGGTTTACATGTAAAAATCCCTATTAAGTTGCATTATACTGGTTTACATGTAAAAACCCCTATTAAGTTCCATTATACTGGTTTACATGTAAAAACCCCTATTAAGTTGCATAATACTGGTTTACATGGAAAAATCCCCATTAAGTTGCATTATACTGGTTTACATGGAAAAATCCCTATTAAGTTGCATTATACTGGTTTACATGGAAAAATCCCTATTAAGTTGCATAATACTGGTTTACATGGAAAAATCCCCATTAAGTTGCATTATACTGGTTTACATGGAAAAATCCCCATTAAGTTGCATTATACTGGTTTACATGGAAAAATCCCTATTAAGTTGCATTGTACTGGTTTACATGGAAAAAACCCTATTAAGTTGCATTATACTGGTTTACATGGAAAAAACCCTATTAAGTTGCATTATACTGGTTTACATGTAAAAACCCCTATTAAGTTGCATTATACTGGTTTACATGGAAAAAACCCCTATTAAGTTGCATTATACTGGTTTACATGAAAAAACCCTATTAAGTTGCATTATACTGGTTTACATGGAAAAATCCCTATTAAGTTGCATTATACTGGTTTACATGGAAAAATCCCTATTAGGTTGCATGATTACACTGAAGTCCTTGAAACTGCTGAAGTCCTTGAAACTGCTGAAGTCCTTGAAACTGCTGAAGTCCTTGAAACTGTTGAAGTCCTTGAAACTCTTGAAATCTTGAAACTGCTGAAATCCTTGAAACTGTTGAATCCTTGAAACTGTTGAATCATTGAAACTGTAGAAATGTCTGAAAGAGCTGAAGTCCTATTAAAATGCATGGGCCTATTAAAATGCATTGCAGAATTCTCAATGCAGATTTTTGTCCGATTGCGGAAAAACCGGAAATCGCTGAAGTCCCAAAAGTAATAGCAATAATCTCCCAAACATGTGGAACGTTTTGATGTATAACTTGTGGAAATTGTTGAAAATGTGAAAGCTGTGAAACGTGTCAAAAAAAATGACGGAATAAAGAAATACAAAACCAATGGTTGACTGCGGAAGGTTCCGCAGTCAATCAATAATGTCATGTCAACCCAGGCACCTCATGTTATAACCCAAACCCATGACTATTGGGTGAAAACAAGCAGCTGTGCACATAATTTCAAAAAAGCCACGCTAATATTATACTCACTCCAGTTTGATTTGCTTTCTGGAATGATAAATATAGCCACTTTTTCAGAGGCATGAAAAGTATGGTTTGGTGCCCTCCACTATTGATGTCTCTCCACCATCTTAAGTGAGCCGAGCAATCACTTCCATGGATCGCTTTGCTAGACATTACGACATTTACAGCTAGCCAAGAAGCATAGCCGCTACTTACTTATTTTGTTTATTTTGTGTGCTCCCTGTGTGCTCGTACTGCTGTCCTGTATGTGCGCTGCAACATTGAAATTCCCCCACTGTGGGCAGAATAAAGGATCTTATGTTAACTAGACTGGTCCCCACCACAGACTGTATATGTATGGACAGAGTGTGGCCTGTTCTCTCCATTCAAAGTTATGGCTTTGTGGACCTCTTGTGAGCTGCTGCAGGTGGCGCCTCCTACAGGATGGTTTTTGGGGTTTTTTTTTTATTGTGTGCTTGCATGTGCCAAGTCGGCAAATCGTGCAGTGATGACATACTGTACAGCTGGAACTGCAGTTGTGGTGAGCGCCATAGAGTATGACCATTCTGGATCTGCGTGAAAATAAGATGACACCTTAACTTTAGCGGCTAAACAGACCTGGTTTGAAGACATTTGTGTCAATATGCAGTGCTTTATTGCAGCTGAATGGATCATTTTGCTTGTTGGTTTTGTTGCATGATTCCGGATATGACCAGTAAGGAAGAATCAGAAATCTAGGAGTTCAATCCATTTATTAATTTATTTCATTTACAAAACTCTTCGCGCTTCTATTTCCTGAACTATCCTTAGAGCTGAGCCAAACAGTTGTCCCTCCAGACCTGAACTTAGATGTAGTTAGGCTCTATCTTTGTCCCTGCTCAGAACGACTAACACAAATTCAGTTATTCAGTTTTATCAAATGTGCAGATTGGAGGATCTAAACGTATTTACCATTCACCTTTTTCAGCATTCTTTGAACACAAGTTGCAAATTAACTATTCATTTTCCTGGATATTATTAACGTCGTAAATATTCGTGAAATCCTGTAGTGTCTGATTACCCAGCGGCATTGCTGCATACAGTCAGTCTTCACATCAACTTGTTTAACCAGTTTGTCCCTCCCCAAAAGAATCACCCCCTTTTATATAGAAACACAGACGCACCGGTGCAGAGGTTTGTGAATGACTAATTTGACTAATTTTGACTAAAATGACTAATTTGAAGCATATTTGTGAATCAAATGCTCAAAATAATATACTATGTACTGTTTGCCAAAGGAATGGTTATGTTATGGTTATGTAAGACGTTTTTAATATTGCAAGCCCATAGTTTTGGCACAGAGGAAACTGGCAGGACGACCTTCACACAAATAGTCCTCCATTTGCATCAATTATGATTTGTGTGAAGTTTGTAGATTATTGCAAGAATGTTGTAGTATATATTCTCTTTCCAACTTGTAAATATTTATATCCTGTGCCCCTGCTCGTGCCTCGTCCTCACCTTGACTGCCCTCAGAGGCAAACGGAAGAATTTAAGAAGTCATTGCTAAGAGAAAGTCTTTTGAAGGCTTTTGCATGAGGCTTGAACCCACTTGTCTTTCATGACTTTACAATTGTTTCTGCCGACACCTATAAAGGCAGTAGCCCAAAAAGTTTTTTCCTCATTTCCTGGCAAAGAACTAGAAAAAATCCTATCTTTTCTTTTGTATTTTCTCTATGATGATTTATTTACTGTGTACGTCTCTTCACCGCTGCCCTGATTTGCATGTTGGGGACTCCTGCAGGGGCCAGCCTAAATTATTCAGTATTTTTTTTCCTCTTTTCATTTTGCAGGTCTTCTGTCTGTCTCACTTATCTGTGTTTTTATTCTACACAAGCCTTTGCCCAATAGGAGGGAAAACCGCGCTCAAAAGGACATTTAGGAATGAGCTTTCGTTTGTGGTGTTTTTTATTTACACATAACATTACGACCACTTTTAGATTGTGACGAATATGTTGTAAAATAATTATATATAACTCCTCATCTAGCATTATTTTTGCCTTGATAAAAACTTTTAAGTATGTCACTGTGCACTGCATGTATTGGGGAAAAATTCAACTTGAGGTATTTCACATGAATGTAAGAGATGTTCAATGTCAAGCAACATATTTTGAAAGTGGTCTCAATGTTGCGTGTCATCTACATGTTTTTGTTTTTTGCTCAGCCTTGACACTTCCTTTTCTCTGTCTGTTCGTCTTCAGACCCAAACGCAGTGGGGCAGCACGGCACGGACCATGCACTGATCGGTGGAGTGGTGGCTGTAGTGGTCTTCGTCACCTTGTGTTTAATCATTGTCCTGGGGAGATATCTGGCCAGGCATAAAGGTAAGACCGCGGTGAACTGGAGCTGTCTGTCTCAGAGCTCAGGGCGCAGCAGACCATGGCCTACTTCTGCTGTCCTCTGCTGCCAAGGACAAAAAGTACTGAAACCATCACAGGGCAATAAAGCTCAAGGGTGACACACTTTTCCAGAGAACAAATTGTTTTCCAAATTGTCATCTGATGGGGTTTTTGAGTGCACTTAGTCCTAACTATCTTCTTTTGGTATTGATACCTGCACATTATAACTTTTGTGATACAGCTTGTGAATAAAAATCCTTATATTGTATCGTACCTTCTACAATCATTTGATGTCTTTATGTTTATTCTAAATTAGACTGACAGTTAAATTCCACATCCAACCAGCGCAGTAACTGAGGATCCTTGTTAATGACTAAAATCCGGTGCACCCAGCGGGAGTTCTGTTCATCAAAGGAGTGACTATATATTGATCAGATACTTACTTAAATCAGATGGTTATATTATCGCCTTGATATTCAGGCTCAGCACGCTGTCTACCCCACCTACATGTCATCTCAAATGCAGAGACAATTACACTTTTTTTGGATTCATTCATGATGCATTTTTGACTTTTGAAGAGAAAAACACAAAGTAAAGTGGGGGGAGATAAAAGTGATCTCCTGATGCATGGGTCACATAGTCACATAGTAGTTTTGGCCGTAAATGGGGACTTAACTTAACAAACACTGCATGCCCTCCTCTTGAAGCAGACTGTGGGCAAAGGTTTTCTTTGTGCCGGTGAAGGCACAGGTAAACATAGTGCAGGATGTGGAGATGTGGAGTCTGTTCAGAGGTAAAAGTGCAGCAGATACGATAGATCTGTCTAATTCCACACCAGAAACATTATATTATGAATCATTAAACTGTAGAGCCAGCCCAGCCCTTAACTGCCTCCATTTCCGCCCCTCACACAGGTTCATAGCAGATGAAAATAATTAAAGAAGTAAATTTACTTAGTTTAAGTGGCTCAGGGGTTTTATTTGGTGATTTAGTTCTGTTATAGCGCTTCAATATAAGAAGCCGTAAAAGACCATAAACAGCAACCTTATCAAGAGGTGGTTAAGAAGTCATTGGGAGACTTGGTGATGAGCCAAAACAGCCTAAACTTCGACCACAATGTAGACCATTTCGAGAATACATATAAAGTAAATGACATATTTTCTAAATGAAATCGTTACTTAAATGGCTAGGTCTTTGTGGTGCATCCCGCTGTAGGAGTCGCACTTTGCGTCAAATGCGTCCACAGAGATGGCCTTTGTGTAGGTGTGATCTGGTGTCTGGACCGCTTCTTTGCTCCGTCTCCATTTGCATTTACGGTCCCTCATCACTGCTCTATGAATAATGTAGCTTTTTCTGACTCCGTCTCCAGATCCGGTGCTATTCTCGCCTCCAGCATCTCTGCAACTTTATTTGTTTCCCTGTATGTACCAGTGATGTTTGTTTAATTTTTATTTTTTTCTCACAGGAACATATTTGACAAACGAGGCCAAAGGAGCGGACGACGCGCCAGATGCTGACACGGCTATCATCAACGCCGAGGGCAACCATGCGCACGCGGAGGAGAAGAAAGAATACTTCATTTAGACTGAAGAGGGCGCTGTCATGCCTCTCACATCGCCCCAGGCCCTTTTTCTTCTCTGCTCCTTCCCCTTCCTCATCGTCGTTCGACCACCACAAACCCCTCTGCAAGCGTTTTGCCTTTGGTGTTGGCCATATTGTTTTGTCTTTTAGGCAGCTTACAGTGGGACTGCTTTTCAAAATGGCCTCCTCTCTTCTACCCTACTCCCCCTTTTACACGAGATTATCCAGTCACCACGAAAGCGCATATCTCACACAAAAACACGGTGCCTAAAACGACCATTGAAATAGAGTCAATGCCTTCATGTATATTTGTCTGTGGGTAGCTTCGAGAGGCGGCCAACTCGCGTCCGCTCCGTTCATTTGCGCTAAGAGCTCTTGGTATTTTTCATTTCTTTTTGACTTCAACAATGATCTGTGCTGTTTTATCGCCTTACACTTACATATTTTTAGACCCTCCTCAACTGTTCCCCCTGTTCTATCTCTTTCGCTCTCTCCCTGGATTTCTCCCGCCAAATAGACTTGTAATTACAAATACCCGTTGTAAGATACGAAGAAGGTTTTTTTTGTGTGACACTGTAGCAAGGTCTGTCTGATACGTGTATATGATTTTCAATAGGGTTAGGGGTAAAAAATGGATAGTGTGGTATTGTCTACAAAACACACCAAAAATATCGAAATGCTAGTTGCGGTTAGCATTGTGGGAGTTTTTTTTTTCATCCTATAACTCAAAAGCTAAATCTGCTATGTACTTTTGCTATGTACTGATGGTAGTTTGCCATGGAGCTTTCGGGTGTACAGTCTCCTGCTGTATAAATGGTACAGAAGTTAGTTTTAGCTTCTCTCTTTGTAATTTCGCAACACATTCATCCAAATTCATTCATTTTGGAGAACCCCGTGACTAGAAGATTTTATTATTATTTTATGGTATTTTTTTGTGTTCGATTTTAATTTAGATATTTTTTTGCGTGTACAATTTTAAGGTCAAGGCAGCTTTCCTGTGTACTTTAGCCGCTCCAGATCACATTTTGAGGGGTTTCCATCATCGGAAAACATACAAGTGTGCAAATGTAGTGAAAAATCATAGTCGGAATATTTTCTGAAACATTCTGTCATCACAAAAAGAAGCACAAAAAGTGAAATGATTGTTAGGAATCAAAATTCACCAACCTGAATACAAAGTCAACCATCGCTCTTGAAAACTTCTGCAAAAAGCATTGAGGATGTATTGACATTTTTATTTTAATTTAAACACTTCCCTTCTGTATATTGTATCTGCAAAAAGTGATTTATTGTGGAAAGTGCTGTTTGGATTCCTGTTAGAGATTTGTATATTTGCCAATCTATTTTTTAATTTCTCACTTCTAATCTAATTGTGTTATCACAGGGCCTGTACATAATGAGCTTCTCTGCTTATTTTTTGTTTAAATTATTCAAGAAATGCAAACAATGAAGGATATTTGTGAGTGACGCTATGTGTATATGGCATGCTTAAAGTGGGATGGTTTGAAGGACAAAATATTAAAAAGAAAATAATTTAAAGATTCAATAATTGTAAAAGAAATGATGAAGTGCAAAAAATTAGGAACACACATTTCCAATTCTGTTAATTTAATTGTGTGTCTATTATATATTTTACTTGTGCATTCGTTTGCAGGAGTGGTTCAAAAATCCAAGACTTCAAAGCACTAATCCACCCAGAGGTAGCAAATTACTACCAAGGGCAATAAAATGGCCCCACCTGTCGCAATTCACTGGCCAATTTATAACATTATGCAAATAAGGTCAGCAAGCAAAAGGTCTTTTTCTATTCGTTAATCCAAGCTGGAGACTAAAGATTGAAAACAGTATTGTGTCACCTTTCACTTTGTGTTCTACTTCATAAACTGTGCAAAATACAACTTATGGTACTTACTGCACTGCTCGCTTCATCGTATTGTGCAAACGTTTTCTTGAAAGTGATAGAAAAGACCTGGGATTAAGACGGGTTTAACCAAGCAGCAAACAAACAGAAGACATTAGTAACTCTAAAAATGATCTTAAAAACATGTTAAACAGGTTAAAATACAGTCTCAGTTCAATACAGTGCATGTCTGAATTTATAAATCTGCACATGCAAGTACATTGGTTTATAGGTTGTGTTCATGTGACATCACAGCATTCCAAAGAACCTGTATTTTAACATTGTGATGGAGGGATGTCAAAGGTCAGATTTATAATTGCTTAAAACCAATATGTGTAAAGCTCTGACTGTAGGATGTTATTACTGGGTTAATCCAATCTTCTTTGTCAGTACCGATCAACCTACAGCCTCACCGGCCCTTTCTGGAACTAGTTTGACAGCGTTGTAATGGTCAAATTATTTTCTCCGAAAGGTGTCTAGTAGTGGTGACAATATTAAAAGACTTACATCAGGATGGCTATTTAAATCCTTTCAGACAAAATAATTACATTGTGGATTTGTGAATCTAAAAAATATCAAATTAACTGTTTTTGTTTACTTACTTGAATATAGGAGAGTATTAATCAATGTGCCGGCAAACACCTTCAACATACATATGCTGGAATTAGCACTTTAGCTAGTTTGCATCTATTGTCCTAAGACAGGTACAAACATACAAACACACAGTTAGGCAACGGTACAAACAATAACTCCACAAGCACAACAACGTAAAGAATTTAAACGAGAAGAGAAAGATAAATAGTTGTATTGGCATCTGCCCTCTGTCTGAAATATACTAAATATACTCAAAATAGACTCTTTTGTGGAATTTCTGCACAGACCAAGAGCTGTAATACAATCAAAGTGTGGGTTTATTCATCAGTAAATGTGCACATATACAACGAATAACAAAACCCATACCGTTTCCACCTGGCAGCCGTCTGAAACCGTCTGCCCCGAATGAGGAAATCACAGACATTGAATTGACGAGAGTAAACAAAGACATATCTAACTCTAGAAATTACTCAAATGAAGTCAGCATTGATATGTGTCGCTCAAGGCTTCTCTTTACCCTTCCTTACGCTGATACAACTCTGATACTCGTAATAATCTGCTTTGACCTGAACACATTGTTCTTCGGCCCAGATATTGCTGAAGACATGTAGAAACCTGTCTCCCATCCATCAGCTGACCTGCTGCCAACAGATCATATGTGCTGTTGAGAATTATTTAATAACTTACACGTATAACTATTTAACGTCAATTCAGATAGCTTTACTAAAAGATTTCTCTTAACAACTCTAAAACATGAACGCAACCTATAGCACTGTGCTTCTATCACGCCTTATGAAAACGTTTGCACTGCTTTAGGTCATTGTGCTTTGGTCGCTCAGTCACTATGGACAAATCCAACAGCTTCTCCGCTGTCACACTCTGTATATATCTGTACCACAAAATGTTCTGGGTTTTTAGTTTATTTTTTATTGTTACTGTGTCTTAAATCAGTGATGGTGTCAATCAAGTCTTTTGTTGATTTACATGTGTTGATGAGAAATTGATTTGATGAAGTAGAAATGTATTGTTATTAGTTGGGTTGAATTAGGGGCTGAACAGGTGCCATCTCCTGAATTATGCACTCTGACTCAAAAATATTCTTAGTAAAAAAAAAAGATTGAAACGGTGATTGTTCAGTTTTTCTTTTGTGTGTTTTATTTTTAACAATCCACGTGTAAATATTTGTTTTGACATGAAAGTAATGGGCTAAATTCTTTCATATGGCTTTTTTATGATACTTAGTCCAAATCTGAATCCATGTTTTAGTGTGTTGAGAGCCTGGCACTTCATGTCATGCACTATTTGGTAGATTCAACTGTAGCTCGCTATGAGTTTATTTTTTCTTATTAGCTTATTTTATGTTTGGTTGCAACTAAGCTTTAAATCTGCTGCATATTTCAATACAAACACAATAGAGGCCTCTGTCATTTCACACCGGTCACGAAACAGAAACAAAGTCATCCCATTTCCCCTGGGAATAGATCCATGCTATTATATTAGTTTTTTATTTCAAATTTTTATGCTTCATTTTATGGCTCACAGCAAACACTTCTATGAAAACAGGTGAAAGACCAGCTCAGGTGCAATAGTGTTTATGCAGATCAGGCAAAGCCCAGCAATAGAGGCATCCATTTTGCCATGAAATTGCCCAATTTCAGAAACAATTTTCATGCTGGCTGAGAGACGTGAGGACGGATAGCAATTCCCAAAATGTATGTGGATTGAATTTAGCTGTTTAACATGTTTGAAATGTTCGCTAAATACAATTAAGTTTCAAATCAAACAAAGATATTATTGAACCTTGTTGAAGTTCCACTGCTGCATTTGGACAGCATGGTGGCTGAGTGGTTAGCACTCTCGCTTCTCAGCCAGAAGGTCCTGGGTTTGAATCCTGATTGTTGGGCCTCTCCGTGTCTATATAAGTTCCCTCCAGGTGCTCTGGTTTCTCTTGGTATTAAAAACATGTACCATAGACAAATCCTCCAACTCCAGTCGTCCTAACATCTGCAGATGGGTCGCCGGGTGCTGTGCTATAGAGACGTTCAGATGGGTCAAATGTAGAGGACATATCATAGGACAAAGTATAACTTAACTTTATCTCCTCCTTTTCTGTTACTGTTTGGTCTTTAGTCAATCTATATAATCCTTTTTAATAACACATGATTAGTTCTCTTATGAATAAGTTGTCCACATGATTGAGCTTGTGTGTAACATCTGTTTCCTCCTCTGGGGCTGTTCTTTTGGCCTGTGCTTTAGGTGGAAAGAGTTATAAGCTGAAATAATTGATCATTATGAAAGCTCCCCACATCTCCACCTGCCACGGCTGCACCTGTGCGCACAAATGCTGCCTGTAGTTCAGTCGCACCGGTGTGAAATCACAGAGGCCCACAATCCTCCAAGGGAAGCATAAAAGTAATAGTAACCTTTTGATGTTTTATTACAATGTTTTCATTTGCCCTTATTTCATCACTGTACAGACTGGTTTCCGCTACAAAAAATAATAAATGGT